GGGGGGGGGGGGAGCGACGACGAAAACCCGGGAGTCGGGCTCCTCAAATGCGCGTTTTGTTTCGAGATTACGTTGTTGTAATAAATAATATCGCATAAAAAAAAATATATATATATCAGATTTAAAACTATAGAGAAATTAATAGCAATAACTGAAGAAAATTCGATAGAATTATTGCCTTAAAAAGTAAATACTCAAAATTTACGATACGCACGATTCGGACTTTCCATATTGTTTGAAACATATCGGGATATTTAAAATCCACGTGAAAATCACTATTAATAACTGCCGAAAATACAATTGAAACATTACATCGATTTACGATATTATCGTCGTAAATTGAGTGCGCCAAAAGTGATTATTTAAATACGTGATTCAAATATTCCGCAGAAAAGAAAAGTTTTTTTTTTTTTTTTTTTTTTTTTTTTTTTTTTTTTTTTTTTTTTNTTTTTTTTTTTTTTTTTTTTTTTTTTTTTGTGCATTTAACTTCTAAAATAGCACATTTTGTGTTCATTAGGTAAGTCGACCCTTGAATTAACACTTGCAGAAAAATCTCGGTAATTAAAAGATAAGGACCAAAAACAAAAGATAATTTTAAATAAAAAAAGTTAAAGAATGTTTTGCTATAACTACCAAGCCTTGATAATGATTATTTTTTATGATATGATATTTATTTTTTGTCTATACCCATTATTACCTTTAAATAACTGAATTTTATTAATTTGCAAAAAGTTTGTTTTTCTGCAAGGGCACTTCAGGTTTTTAATAATACAACTTAGACACAAAATGTACTATTTTGAAGTTGAATATATTATAACCGACGTTGAACAGCGGATCCAATTTTTGGGTTTACGACTGCTAATGTTAAACTCCGAAGCCTTGTAATTTTGAGCCCAATCCAGAAGACAAGGGAACTCTCCTGGATCAAGTATTGGGAGAAATTTGCCTTCGTGGTGGACTTTTTGATGGAGCAAACCCGCAGTTGAGTTACATGGAGAGAAAGACCACGAGAGCCCCCCACGGTTAGCCTGACGGCAAGGGGACTTTAAGGGATCCGTCTAGGACTGAGGATATTTCACGTCAACACTGTGGTCGGTGCAAGCCGGGTGCGGAATTCGTATCGACCAGCCATTGCCGGGATCGAACCCCCGTTCACCTCATTGGTAGACGAATGCTCTATCCCCTGAGCCATCGCGACTCGAAGTTTAATATAGGAGTCCACGTTCATATAGATCAACTTATACTCTGGAAAATATGGGGGGTGAGTAAGTTAACTGACACCCCGGAAAATAGGATGCGCTTAAGTAGGGGTGAAGCATAGCACAGTTTAATCTGAGCTAAAAACAGTTTTTTTAATAAAATAAAATAAAAATTTGACAACAACTTTTAAGTAAATAATTGTAAAAAGATCTAAAACTTTATGAGAATCAATTTTGCACATTTATTTCAAGTAAAAGGGGGGAAATAATATTGCGAAAACTTTTTCATCTCTCTTGAAGAGATCTATTTCTTCCAGAATATTGATGAAAGTGAAACAAACTGGATGAAATGAAAGAAACTAAAAATGACTGTTACAATTGTTTAACAATAAATATTAATGAAACATTAGTAAAAAATGCCTCAATTAAATTTTTTGTTTAAAAAATACACATTTTCAGATTATTCATTTTAAGTTTTATGCAGAATATTAAAATCTTAAATAACCTATTATTTTGAATTTTAATTTATATTAGCCTTATAATAAACACGCGTATCTAGATAAATAATATGTCCTTAATTTATTTTTGATTTGCTAAATATTCTCTTCAAACATAGAATTATCTAAAATATAAAAAAATATTACTGGCCAAAATATGGTATTAAAATGTTATTTCAAAAATGACTTTTGGAAATTTTCAATTAAATTTTCGTGGCAAATTTAATGCCAATGTACTTAGAAACTTTAGAAAAAAATTTTTATTACCTAATAAAAAAAATAAAAAAAACAGGAACTAAAATTTCACACTTTACTTACGTTTTTATGTTAATGAATTCCAAGAAGAATACTGTAAATTGTAAGAATATCAAAATGTGAAACTGCTATAACATTTATATGTTAAGTTTTTTTTACTGATCAAATTTTATTTCTCAATACATATACACACTTTAATTGAAAGCTTGCCTTAAAATGATAATGAATTTTTCTAATGAGATTTTTAGTTCAATTATTAAAACAGTTTTAAATTGTTTACATATTTTTTTAGAATTTTAAGTGAATCATCGCTAGAAAATGAAAGTTTAATTTGAGAATAAAAATGCATAGTTAAAAATTCTTAGGTTTATTTTTCCAATTATAAGTACTATGTATACTTAATATATACTTAAAATTTTTGGAGATAGGTGAGTAGGTAGGTACTTTATTTACGTCGCCTTAAAGCTGCACAATGGGCTATTGGAGACGGTCTGGGAAACATCCGTGAGGATGATCCGAAGACATGCCATCGCAATTTTGATCCTCTGCAGAGGGGATGGCTCCCCTGCTTTGATAGCGACCAGCGTGCGAAATCGGGCACTTTACGGAAGAACAGTTTCGCGGACAGATACCGCGCACCCTCGGTCCCTTCGCAGGCTGAGCAAAGTGATCACCCACCCGCCTACTGACAGCAGCCAGTGATGCTTGACTTCGGTGTTCCACTGGGAGCCG